TCCTAATAGACCAGTTCCCTGTCTATGTGTCTTTCCCTGTACCATCATCCTAATAGACCAGCTCCCTGTCTATGTGTCTAACTCTGGTCCATCATCTCAATAGACCAGTTCCCTGTCTACGTGTCTTACCCTGGACTGTCACCCCAATAGACCAGTTCCCTGTCTATGTGTCTTACCCTGAACAATCATCCCAATAGACCAGTTCCCTGTCTATGTGTCTTACCCTGGTCCATCATCCCGATACACCAGTTCCCTGTCTATGTATCTTACCCTGGTCCATCATCCCGATACACCAGTTCCCTGTCTATGTGTCGTACCCTGGTCCATCATCCTAATAGACCAGCTCCCTGTCTATGTGTCTAACCCTGGTCCATCATCTCAATAGACCAGTTCCCTGTCTACGTGTCTTACCCTGGACTGTCATCCCAATAGACCAGTTCCCTGTCTATGTGTCTTACCCTGAACAATCATCCCAATAGACCAGTTCCCTGTCTATGTGTCTTACCCTGAACAATCATCCCAATAGACCAGTTCCCTGTCTATGTGTCTTACCCTGAACAATCATCCCAATAGACCAGTTCCCTGTCTATGTGTCTAACCCTGAACAATCATCCCAATAGACTTGCTCCCTGTCTACGTGTCTTACCCTGGACAATCATCTCAATAGACCAGTAATCTGTCTATGTGTCTTATTGTGGACCCGACCATCATCCTCATAGTCGAGGTCCTTATTTACTATGTGTCTCATGATGATCCACCATCCTATATATAGCTAATAGACTAAATCAATCCCTGGGTACTATTTGTGTCACACCGTAGATCTTCGTAGTGTCTTATGGTGGGTTATCAACCTCATAGATAGACCCCTGTTTACATGTCTTATGGTGGGTTATCAACCTCATAGATAGACCCCTGTTTACATGTCTTATGGTAAGCCGTCATCCCCATAGACAGGACCCTTGTCTACATATCTTTTAGACCATCATCCTCATAGACTAGAAGCTCACTAGTCTACCTGTCTTATTGTGGATAATGATGCCCATATATTAGACACATGTCTATGTGTTTTACAGTGGGTTATCATCCTCGTAGACTAGACCTCTCTAGTCTACCTGTCTTATTGTGGATAATGATGCCCATATATTAGACACATGTCTATGTGTTTTACGGTGGGTTATCATCCTCGTAGACTAGACCTCTCTAGTCTACCTGTCTTATTGTGGATAATGATGCCCATATATTAGACACATGTCTATGTGTTTTACGGTGGGTTATCATCCTCGTAGACTAGACCTCTCTAGTCTACCTGTCTTATTGTGTCTTATTGGCGCTAGTACTCCCAGAAATTCCAACTGTAATACATCAATGTTCTGGCAAAGTGCTTACCTGGGTATAAATATGGCTAGCACTGACCTATCTTCTGACAGTGCTTGCCTGGGTATATATATATATTGTATATGGCTGGCACTGACCTATCTACTGACAGTGCTAGCCTGGGTATATATTATATATCGCTGGCATTGATCTATCTTCTGACAGTGCTAGCCTGGGTATATATTATATATCGCTGGCATTGATCTATCTTCTGACAGTGCTTGCCTGGGTATATCTATATATTATATATTGCTGGCATTGATCTATCTTCTGAAAGTGCTAGCCTGGGTATATATTATATATCGCTGGCATTGATCTATCTTCTGACATTGCTAGCCTGGGTGTATATTATATATCGCTGGCATTGATCTATCTTCTGACAGTGCTAGCCTGGCTATATATTATATATCTCTGGCATTGATCTATCTACTGACAGTGCTAGCCTGGGTATATATTATATATCGCTGCCATTGATCTATCTTCTGACAGTGCTAGCCTGGGTGTATATTATATATCGCTGGCATTGATCTATCTTCTGACAGTGCTAGCCTGGGTATATATTATATATCGCTGGCACTGACCTATCTACTGACAGTGCTAGCCTGGCTATATATTATATATCGCTGGCATTGATCTATCTACTGACAGTGCTAGCCTGGGTATATATATATATTGTATATGGCTGGCACTGACCTATCTACTGGTGCAGGAGACCCCTGGTAATCTGTTTGTGTCAACAGCCCCCATCAGACCATCTCTACACAGCTGATCAATCTTCACGTAGTCTACAGGTTTCTATGACATGTGTGTCAAGCTGACGTATACATTAGTGTAGCATATGTATATATCCTACCTTAATGGATCTCCACTACCCACTAACCTATAAAATTGTGATTAGAGTGCACTAAAATGTACTAATCTTAGTATATATAGTTTAGTTCAGCTGCATTTGTTTGGAGCAAGATTTTGTCTCAGCTATACATAACAGACTTTGATTTTGAGGTGTTTTTTTAAAGAAAACTTGATTCAATTTGAGGGACTACTTTTCAGGAAATTGAATGTACATTAAGGAATTTTTGTTTTTTAACAGTAAATTCCCTACATGTAAAAAAGCAACCCCAAGCACTTTGGTTATGGAAGTTTTGTTTGACCAAAGAAAATAATAAAGACATTGCATGGAAACCGATTTTCAGATTGTAGTATAAAATCACTGTGACTTGAACTTTGACCTTTTGACATAAAAACTAATCTCAAGGTAAAAGTAACTGCTTTTCTGCAGACTCCACTTGAGGTGCAGAAATATATATATATAAAGCAACCCCAAACAAACTCTATAATTTAAATGTATTAAGTAACTTTTTTAGAATCAGATTCCAATTTATGGTAAGGGACCTCGACTTTTGACCTTTCAACCCGAAAAGCAAACCCTCTTTAGAAAAGAAGCCATGTATAAAGTTTACGTTGAATGATGAAGTTAAATGCAAAGTATAACAAAGAAATATGAACAGACCAGACCATCAAAAAAGGCAAACAGTTAACTCATTCACCCCTGAAATTTCATAATGGACTATTCCAACCTTTGAATTGGAAGAGCTCAAATGTGTCTTCAGGGGTAAATGAGTTAATGCCCCCTCCATTATGATTCGTCCTTAAAAGGTTGGGAAAGGGTCCCCTTTGATTCATCACACGAGACAAACTATAAGTTTAATCAGACTGAAGAAATCTATGTCAGACAGCCTTTATAGGTTATAGGACTTTTATCAGAATTAGCCAACCTAATTCTGGCCTCTGGGAGTTCAAATGGACCAATACGTCCTGTACTCATTATAATCTGGGTAAACGAAGTTGGACTCGGTACAAACCACTTAATTACTATTTTCTTTGAATGTTTTCCAAAAGAAAAAGTTTGGAACGGGCCAAATCAGTGTACAGTTATGTGAAGAAACCAATGCGATCTATAACGGTCATTACTGACTGCTTTGGTTGAAAATAAAAGGTGCTTGAAGCGTTTTATACACCGCAATAATTCTATCAACACGTTTCTTTAAAGACTATGGAAATGCTATGGTAACTGTACGTGATAAATCGTAGTTATTGTCTGTTCCTTATCTTTCACCTACTCCTATGAAAGATTCAAAATTCTGATAAACATATGGGAAAAGTCTCAGCTGGCTTAATAAATTGTCTATGAGCTGGTAAACAATATAATAGCAAAACATACATAAAACATTCTAGATCTGCTGAAGGGCATTTAGCCAAGATCAGAAATGAAAAGATTTCATCTCCATATTTTTTCTGGAAAATTATTTTTTCTGCTATTTGAATGCAGATGAATGTATCTATGATGCTCTTTATGAAAATAATCATATCATTTTTCACAATGGATCTTCAACAAGCAAAATACTTGACACGAGTTTCAAAATCCACTGTTTCAGATACGAAATATGTTATTTTTGTAGTTGTTTTTTTCACCGACTTTTGCTAGGTGAAGAGTGTGTTTAGCACTACGAGTTAAGGTCAAATATATCCCTATCTATATACAAAGATAAGGATTGACAAGGGAGACAACCCGCACAGCAAGGGAGATAAACCAAACGTGACCACCAGGATCTACATGAGCACTACAAACAAATGTTACATCACTCCCTGGGGAGGCTGAACACTGCATGGAATGCCAGATAATATCTATCCGATCCAGGGATCACCTGATTGTCCCCACACAACCATCATCTCAAATATTTACACAAGATAACCTTGTTTATTTTCTTCATAACACTGTCTCAATATAATGCCTGTGATACGGACAATGATTATGAACTCTACCTGCCTCCTTTTGAAGAAGAACACCTGACAATGCTATCTATGGTGGAATTTCCTTGAGATTTCTCATGTTTACGTAAGACACCACACTTCCACTTTACTTGTGTAAACTTTATCCTTTGATCCTGACAAAAGCCCTTTGCTAAATCACGTTATACCACTACTACAAGGTCAAAGCTACCGTTTAAATACGGATATTTCTCCCCAATTTAAGGCCTACAAAAGCTTGAAGACAAAGGTTCTCGGAATGTCAATAAAAGTTTCACAAACGAAATAAAATTATGTAAGTTGTAAGTAAGCACAGGGGCCTGAGAGCTGGAGCCCAGTGTTAGATGTTTCTAGAAGAAATTCTCCTTATTGAAACATGTTATTTTTTCATAGGTGCTGGAAAACAGGAATTATTTCTCTACTGATGCCAAACAAAGACACCTTCAGGAAATTCCCAAGAGCAAAATTCATCGCAGATATCTTTAAATGTGAAATTCTGATTGTTTTACTTTTTTTTATCAAAGGTAACTTTTGAATTACTTGAAAAATATTATTCTCAAACTAATATTACTTATTTTTCTTATATATAGAATTTTTTAACAATTCATATCTAAGAATAACTGATCAGTCATGAAACCATTGTCCAGTATGCTAGAAAACTGGGAAGATAATTTTTAAAGGCTTGTTCGCTATATGACTATGTACAGTAGTTAAGCATTTGATACTGTTATTATTAAAATTTCGGCAAAGAAACAGTAAACATCATGAATTCTAACTGATTTTTTCCTTTGAAAATCCCTATGTATCTGATGACATACCTTCATGATAGCTGCCATATGTTGTTTGAAGGCCTTTCCACCCTCCAGATTGGAGAACTCCTGACTGACTGCCTGCAACGCTGTTTCCTTATCCCCGTCCCCTACTCCGGGCTGCCCCAGGGGAAAGTGGAACTTTGGGATGTTGACATTCAGTAGTCTCGTCTTCTCCTTTCTCTTGCCCTTACTGTCCTTGTCCGACAGCGTCTTGATGGTGGGGGCGGCTGTAGATAAAGGGGGAGATAACTCCTTGTTTTCTTTGTCACGCTCTTTACTGGTGACCTTGACAAGGTCTTTATCCCCATGGCCGTCACGTGAAATGATGTCTTTGGAATCTTTTGCTGAATTGGACACACCATGATTTGTCTGCAAGTAAAAGAGTTTACCGTAATTTAAATGTTTATTCCATTTTTTTTTAGTAAGGTGATTAACCCTTTCATCACTGTAGACCATAATGGACTCATCCAGATCAATGCATGGGAGAGTCTACTAAAGTTGCATAGGGGTGAAAGGGTTAATAGAGATTGAGAGACAATCTTGCAAACCGTAATATGCAGGTAACTTCACATTTTTTAGCGCTTTATTTGCATTAGGGAAGAGAGTTTCTGCCATCTGTGTTGAATCTCCAGCAAAGAAGAGTTCTAATTTGTTCCACAATTTTGTGACTTGGAGTTGGGCTCAACCTTTCTATACCCAAGAAGTATAATATACAAAAGAAATATATTCATAAAATTTCCTTTTTCACAAAGATACTTCCGTTATAATCATTCCCTGGGCCTCTTGATTATAAATCAATGAAGCTTATCCTCTGGTTGTTTTGTAGTGTTTATTTAACTCATTCACCCCTGAAATTTCATAATGAACTATTCCAACCTTTGAATTGGAAGAGTTCAAATGTCTTCAGGGGTGAATGAGATAATGTTTACTGACATTTGTCACTATATATTAATACATTTCTGCAATATTACTGGGGATATGACTTCATAACGAAAATGTTCTAACTCTTTAAACTCACTCTCAATCTATAATTGTTTTGCATAAATTTTGAGGAAATAACATATAAAAGATAACAGGATTTTTTTTGTTGAGGACTGTCTATACTTATGCAGTAGAAAAGTTGCCCAACTCTCCCCCTTTTAAACACCTTTTAGAATTTGAAGTAGGAAGATGTTTTAGTGATAATTATGACATACACCAGCTGCCCTAAGTAGAAAAGGTTTAATATAACCGGAGAAACCATTCAAAAGCATTATTACAAACATTGAGGGTGATTAGGAAGAATTCCAACACACAGTTTACCTTACAAAAAACCTGGATCACACTTAAACTCGGCAAATGAGAAAAGTTGGACATATTCCAGAGAGTGACAAGTGATATGAAGGAAAGCATTGTCTTCTAACACAGGTGTGGAACTTGAACAACACTGGATCAGAAGAAGAGATTTTTTTTGAGTATGAAATGAACAATGTACCTGTATAAGTTACTAGATGTATGGAAATCAGTCTTGTTACCTTTCAGGTGTTGCCAGAAGGAGGGCTCATGCAATACATTAGGGCTGAAACCCTCTGGGCCTGACAGTCTATCATACTTTAAATACATTACTTTTTTTGTTTGTTTGTGTTTTACGTCCTATTAACAGCTATGGGCCCACTTGTATAAAACATCTCAAAGTTAAGGAAAATCTCAAGCAATGAATTGTCTATGGGAAATCTTAGACTTGAGGAAATCTCAAGCGTTGAGATGTTTTATACAAGTGGACCATGGTCATTTAAGGACATACCAGGTTTTGATACTGGAGGAAAGCCGGGGTTCTCCAGAAAAACCACTGACCTACAGCCAGTACCTGGCAACTGCCCCACGTAGGTCTCAAACCCGCGACCCAGTGGTGGAGGGCTAGTGGTAGCAGAATGTCAGTGCCCTTATCCACTTAACCACAGTGGCCCCTGTTTGGAAATATAGGTAAATTTGTAACACTAAGTAAGGAAAAAGTCAGATCTTCACAACCCGCAGTGCTGTTATAGTAACAAAAAACATGATAAGTGCATCTGATACTTAGCCTATCAATTTGTGACAAGATTTCAGGTTGGATATAGACGATTACTTATGATTGTAGATACACATTTTCATCCCATTACCAGTACAGAATTCCTCATTCTCATAAAATCTTGTGCATAACTGAACAAAATTCTTCACTTTCTTCACTTAAAAAATCAAACTTTCAACAACAAAAATGGTGGTCAAATTGTTTCATTCTTTTTATTTTATAACCTATTGAATTTACATAAACAAGCAGTTTCGGTGATAAATCTAAGATTTTGTTGGATATATATACTAAATTCCAGATTTATCTTTTGTAATAAGCTTATCAAGACTAATTATTTCGACCAGGCCATGTATAATCATCAATTATCATACGTGACCCACCTTACTTTTTGGCTAGTAGCCATTACCAAGGAAACAACAACGAAATTCCCAGAATGCTTCACCAAATAATGGCATCTCTGGGATAAATAAAAGAAAGATTTATGATTGGCCGTCAAGTCCAGAACAAACTTCAGGAGAAAAACACCTGCCTTTGTATAGATCGGGTATAAACAAGTACAAAATTTCTCAAAACCTGCTTTTATCTTGAAAAGCATTGTACATCACCTTGCCAAAATTACTGTTTCTATAGAAAAACCTTTCGAAAACAGTTCGTCACATAAATTAAGTTTGCCAAGAAAATGTTTGCCATTTTTTTTTTCAGATATACTTCATTATGTCTTACATTTTTACATGTAACGATTAATATTTTAAAAATCACTATGGCGAAGTTATTTCTGAACTAATATTGGGAAATTTTCACAACAATAAATGTACATATACATCAATGTTTACCTTCAATGTCTACTCAGCATATGGAAGTAAAATCAACACACTTCTGATTTTTTGTGACAGGCAATTACCAAACTGGCAAGATAATTTTATTTCTGTTTAAATCATTATTGCCATCAGTAATGAAACCAGAAAATTTAAAAGAAAAAAAAGGTTTTCTGCATGGAGAAACTTTATTAAATGTTTTGATCTATGCCAAAACCTGTGTCAAAATTAGTCAAAAAAATGGTTTCACAATAATTGCTCCAAAATTTCAAATTTATTCTAAATACCAATAAAAAAAAAAAATTACGAATTCATTTATGGCTAAAATCTAACTTATCCCCCTGTAAGCTAGCTAGCAGATTATTTCCAAGTAATGAAAACTAAAGCGTTTAAAACAGAAAGAAACAAAAAAAAGATTTGTGCATGCATTTGTCACTCTGTACACTGTACATAAAAATGAAAATAATTCAATCCGTTCAGATGTAATTTCTCTGTAGTTATCAAGGTCTTTGAGCTGCTACTAAGCCTTGAAAAGATACATAAAACATTGTTCCTTTACAATAAGCACATTTGGTGCACATTTGATAGTAAAAAAACACCAATATATGAAGAAAAGTTAGCAGCCACAATGAACGTCTGTGAAACCATACAAATCACACAGCATTTACTTGTCAGAGAGCCAGCAGATGTCATGTCGCGAGACAGGAGACCCATTCTGTGGAAAAGTATGCATTTTGTTGAATTGTGGTGAGAATTACAAACAAAAACAGACATGTCTTTACTAGGTTTAGGAGAAATGTTCTTCCTGTCTGTACAACATGCACATTGTATTCCACTAAATAGAATTTCAAATGAGGTTTGGCTTATCTTATTTAAAATACATCACATGAATCATAAAAGATTTTAATATTTTCCTTCCAATTGGTTTTTCTCCTCTTTTTTTCTCTCTCTGAAAATACTGTAAAAAATCCTGTAGTAAGTGCTATTTGTAAGATAATCAGCCAACTTTCTTTTTTCTCTGATTTTTTTTTTAAATATTTCAAGCAATACGCCCATGTCTGGTGATTAGCCCACCCTTTTCTATTGCCTGTCAGTAGAAATGAAACCAAATGCGATTTCATGGTTTTGTAATAAACCTACCCCATTTCTTTGAGTTAGAGGTTATGTGTCGGCCTCCATGGGCTTTTTACAGGATAAATACAGTGTGTGTAACGTTTTATACTTAAACAGTATTCTTCTGTTCATGACCATAGCAATATGTTACAAGTAATGCAAAATGGGTCACTACAATGTTCTGTTTATATTAAACCCTTTCACCACTGTAGACTCTAATGGACTCATCCATATCAATGCATGGTAGAGCCTACTAAAGTTAAACAGGGGTTAAAGGAATAACAATTGTCAGCAATACACAACCCTATATTTATGTTTCTACACCAGCTAGAGGGAAAGCCTATATTTTGTACTTTAATGTGAATCGGTAACTACCTGTCAAGAACACTCCATGATCCCGCCTACTCAATCATTAGTACAATGTACTATACACACACAAACTACCCAGAGCTTCATCACTTATCCTAATGCTTATAGTACATAATAGTATTAGCCGTTGTGACTGGGAGATTTGCTGTATACAGTTCTAGACAGAATTTTTTTAATTTCTGCTGATCTGAGCATTTTGATCTAATGCTACAACACAAGACATGCTTATTAGTTAGCTGACATTCTAGTAACCCTTTCACCCCTATGTAACTTAAGTAGACTCAACCATGCATCGATCTGGATGAGTCCATTATGGTTAACAGTGGTGAAAGGGTTAATTACTAGAGTGTAAAGATTTTAAGGATCCCAGTACCACTGCCAAAAATGGAACTATATATGCATTGGAAACTTTTTTCCATTAGGACTATGACTTTAATCAATTGTATCTGAAAAGGAGAGTAACCTTCAATGACTTTTATGGAAAACAATAATGCAGATTAAATGAACAGACCGTTAATGGAAAAAAACTAGAAAATGTCTGTAAGACATAAATGCCCCCCACTCATGGATGGGATGGGATGGGACAGGACGGGAAGGAACGCAAGGCGACAGGACGGGACGGACATGGGCAACACTATATATGCCCCCCAATTTTGTGGCCGGGGCATAAAAACGTACTGATGAAATAAATAAAGATAGCGACAAAAGTGTTCTGAATAAAAAGTACAATTGGTTCTCAAATCATTATATTGTCAATCACTTCAATCAACTGTCAGCTTTATACTGTGCAACTGTCTTCTTTAAAGTCGTTATCATTGCAATTTAGCGTAATAATGTCTGCAAAATAATTAACATAACAACCACATCACAACAACTGTGATGAAAGAATACATTGCTTGTCTCTATAATGTATATATTTCAACACCTCGTCTTCTTGGCTGTCTCCTATAATTACTAGAACATATGCCACAGACAGATTTGTTTCTATTCCCAGAATATTTCAGGAATGCTTTCGGGTTTTTTGA